CCAAATAGAGGAGAATGGTTACATGGAATTGATATAAACAATGTACCTAGATATAAAAAGATGTACCAAATAGCCTATTTTGGCTAAAAGTAGCCAAAATTTCCTTCGAGAGTTCACCATTCTAACAATACTTTCGGGTAAAGCTCAATATTTTTAGCATACAGTTTAGCTCCCACAGAAGAATAACGTTGCTTGATGCGCAATACATGACTTAGGAATTAAGTTTAGATTCAGCTGAGCGAGGACATGACCCTTGATTGGAAGGTACGTAGGCCGAGGATTAGGGTAGTAGAGTAGTTAGTCTAGAATGTTCATAATAATAGTAGGGGTGTCAATGGTTCGGTTCGGAATATAAAATTTGTACCCTGCCATTTTTTCAGTTATTCTATTATGTATAACCAAAATTAGACTTTTCGAAACCGTCCCAGTCATATCGGTTTTTCTTCGGTATCGGTACGGTTCAATTAATTTTCGGTATTTTTCTAAATATCATGTAAAATTCACCAGTAGAAATAGAATGCAATAACATACGTTCTTTTATAGGATTTAGCAAAACTCTCTAGACATTTTTACTGCATAAAGGATGATGAATTAAAAAAAATGGCTAGAGTATAGATCCATCAATTATTCTACAATGACGTAAAAGAAATCAAACAAAGACAAAGAAAATATAAATCACACGAGTTGAAAGATATATCAAGATGGGCCTCAAGAATAAAATCTATAGAAGATAAAATATTCAAAAAGAAATATAAATTATATGAAAGGAAACATATTCAATACATTGTAGTTTGCTGCTCATAATCGCTAGAATACTTTGTGTCTTGCTAATACGAATACTTGAAATAACTTAGTTTAAGTAGAAGTAACATATTATGTTTTAGGAATTAGTATTTTGAGTTTAATTACTTGTTGGCTTGTAATAGTTTTCATAATTCCAAGGCCCAAAGAAAATTAAATGCATTATTATTTTTAAACTTACCAAATAAATATATTTTCCACATGTAAAATTTATTCAATACGGTTCGGTATTTTTTTGATTTATTTTTATAAAATAAAAAACCTACCCTAATTATCGGTGCGATTATAGATTTATATAAAAACCTACGGTTTCTTAAAAAGAAACCTAAAAATCGGTTCGGTATGATACGATTCAGTCGGCTTAGTCGGTTTTCGAATATCCATTGATACCCCTAAATAATAGTATCGGCACTCAGTCTCGCTTTCTGTTAGTAGTAGGTTTTTATGACTAACCGTTATTTCTTTCATTGTTGATCACCTTACTATTTGTGCTTATGCTTTCCTGAGCCGATGGTCTATTAGAAACAGTCTCCCATTCCTCTCAAGGTATACTGTGCCACCTCTAAACATCCAATAATTTTCTCTCTGTACACGACACTGGCGATATGGCCACTGTTCCATCGTCCTCCGGTGAAAAACCACCGGACCACCGCCAAGATGAGTGCCTTATAAATGCGCACCCACCCCAACAAACCCCATTCCAAAACAATATCTCAGTCGCAACAGATTTCAAAAATGGCGCTGCAATCACTGTTCATCAAAATCGCCTAGGAGCTTCTGAAATTTCCCAAGTGATTTTTGGGTCAATTTTGAAAATTCCAAGTCGTGGAGATTGTACTTCATCATCAGGTACACCTCTCCACCAAGCTTCAGCCAATTCCACCGTGGGAATCGTCTTCTTCGATGAGCTGCAAATCGCGGGTGAAGCATAAATGGCCGGAAATGGAGTTCCAATAGTCCAAATGGAAAAAGCTCGATACCAATCTGTTCGCCTTGATAAGGAGAATATGTTTGCATCATCAATTGCACATGGGTATCAACCAATTGCATCAATTTTGCAATCAATGACCACTGGCGGTCGAAGCTCACCCGGTGTTCGACGAAATGCAAATTCCACTTCCGGGCTGAATTGTGCTCAACCACCAATTGAAAATCCTTCTACGACACCTAAGGAACATGTATTCAAAGATTCAAGTCAATCTAACATGGCAATTGATCACGAAAAGCCCAGAATTGCTCCAGTTGACCGGGCATGGTGTTTCGGTATATCAATTGTCACAAAACCAATGCCAAACGACTCTTGATGTTCAGGAGATTGTTTCCTACCCCTCAAACCCAATTTCTATCGAGCCAATCTCCACAACATTACAAAAAGGTGTTTCTGCATAATTGAGTTCATCAGGTGTTTGACGAAATGCCATAGCCACTTCTGCCACTCAATTAGATGATCCAAGCATTGCTCAAGTCACTCATGATCCCCAGGAAATTACTCATCAAAAGAATTTGCAAGAAATAACTCAAAAAATTGATAGTCAAACCTTACATTCTCCTTCAGTGCACCAAGTAGTCAACACTGGTGATCAAGTTTCCCATCAATCCCAAAACCACTCCCAGGTAATTCAAACAACCCTTGTTACCCCCCTTCCCCACCAAAGCTTCCATTATAGAAGTTGCGTTAGCAACAAACCAAAACCATAAAGACCAAGCTAATCCTTCAGCACCAACTGTCCAAATGGTCGACAATAGTAACAACTCCACCCCTGTTGCTCAACACCAAACCCAGATACATCCACCCTATCTCCCACAGTTCCTATTAAAGTCTCGTCCAACTTTGAGAAGGCAAAACACCGCAAGAAAAACTACAAACCTCCAGCTAAAATTGCATAAGCCCCGTCACCTGCACAACCAGCAATGCAATCCCTTCCAACCACTAATAGCACCATTCAACATATTAACCCTAACATGAAAACCAAAGCTTTGGCAAATTCACTTCCCCCCTCCTTCAATTATTACTCAATCTTATGTCACCAGATTAAGACCTAAACATGAAGCTGAGATTACTCCAATCCAGTTCACTCCACCAATCATTACAACAAAACAAGGTAAGCCTGATGTCATCTTCAAAAGGGAGGATTACATGGTTAAATTTGTTGTGGTGGGTAAGTTCCTCAACACCATGCCTAAAATGGAAGCAATTAGAAAAAGTTTCATTGCTCAAACTGAACTCGGGGTGGAGTCAAGATTGCCCACATCAATGCTAGGACTGTGTACATAGACCTAGATAATGAGTATGATCACTCAACAATGTGGACCAAACAATACATGTATATACAAGGACAAAAAATGATGGAATCCTGACTTTAAGCCCAATGAAGCCTCACCTATTGTTCCTATTTGGATTGTCATCCCTGAGTTGCCTTGGCATCTTTACTACATATAAATACTCACTCATTTACTGTCTCTAGTTGGTAAAGCCATGTTCCTGTACTTGACTTCATTTCAAAAATAAGAGGCAGTGTTGTCAAGGTAAAAATACAGATAGACCTCACCAAAGAAAGGACTTCCTATGCATGGCTTGGATATGATGAAGATGTCAATGGAGATGGTCAATGGCTTGAGATCCAGTATGACAATGTCCCTGACTACTGCACATATTATAGACACCAGAGACATTCTATTCATGCTTGTCCAATGAAGAAAACAGATGATGAAGTACAGAGAAAAAAGGAAGAAGTTGCAGTTGCTCCTAGTGATACACAACCTTCAAGGAGCATCAATGAATAAAGGCACACCAAAAATCCAAGGGAAAGACCAAAGCAAAAACCAAAATTCTAATGAATCACAAAACAATGAAGAATACCAAAGTTCAAGAGTTGCTCATTCAAAAGATGAATGGCTAACACAAAAAAGGAAAAACTTCAAGGGCAACTCACAAACAAACAAAAAGCAATAACAAGTCTACATGCCAAAACAAAATGCAGTTTAGCCTAACAATGCATCCACACAATTGGATACTACAACTCTCCAGCCAGGTATCAC